AATTATAATATTTTCTCAGTGCATCTGCACAATACAAACGGCTGGGGCTCATTTAAGTGGCAACTTAAATGCCACGCACACTTGCGGAAATGATGCTGACTCCGGGAGCTGCTCGCTTATCTAAGACTTTCAGGGGGCAAGTGGGAAAAAAGAGGTGGCAAAGGATTGCGGCCTGGCAGCTTGCGGTAATCAGCATTAAAAATCAGCATTATCATCGGCAAGGCGGCGTCTAATGGCGACAATGGAGACACCGGGCTGGGGATTTTGAATGCCTTAAAGTGACGTGGCGTTTCATTAGCGAGTCAAGTTGATTGGCTTTTGCAGTTGCGAGTTTCGAGTTTCAACTTTCTAGTTTGCTGCACAAACAGGGGCCGCGCAGCTGCAGTTCGAGGACGTAATCAAGATGAAATTAAAGCGCAAAGTTTGCTTTAAGTCGACTCTGTGCAGCGGCGGCCAACGCTAATTAGATTTTTTAGTTCCACTCAGAAGAGCAGACCAGGGTCCATTGGCTGACTGCTTTCTTCCCTCGCATTTCATGCAAATGAATGAAATTAAAAGCACATTATACTTTATAATGCGCCCTGATTTGCCCCAAGCAAATTTAATTTAAAGATTTGCTGAGCTACCCATAATGATAGATATATATATAACAGGACTTAGGCTGCCCCAAGATAACCGCAGTGCCAAATTGTGGGCATAAGTGACTCTCGAGAGCACATAAATGCGGCAGGGACCCCATTGATTGGGTTTTAGGGGCCAGGCCTGATCAAAGTCATAAGTCAGCGGCATACAAATCTCCATGTAAATATCCTTTCACAGTTGAGTTGTCCTTTTCGGACATCCCGGGATGGCACAGCACGTCTAAGCAACTGGATTATTAACATTTCAATATAATTTGTGGGCCAGCCTTGGTTCATATTCACGGGACGAAGGGCTGTCCTAACTTTTCCTGCTGACGTTTGGGAAAATTAACGCGCCTCAGGACTTTGATCCTTTTTTTATATATATATAATACTATACTTGTATGTACAATGTATGGCGGCAAGGCAGGGGAACCCGCTGCGTGTTGGTCCGCCGTATTTGCTTACATATTCATCAATTTTTGGGTTAAGTTGTGGGCGGGTTCTGGGCTCTGGGTTCCGGTTTTCCGGTTTGGGTTTGGGTTCATATACATATCTGAATGCGAATGCTGGGGCGGCCAGCACGTTTTGCGGTTGTTGGCGTCAAATTGTTTTGCTTGTTTGGGGCTTTCACTGTCACAGCGGGACATGGTATCAGTGCGTAGTCGGTCAGCTGGTGGTTTTTCGACCGCCGGCTAAACGCTTTTAGCTTTAATGCACTGTCCACTTAGTTTGGGGCGAGTTCATAATTGCCATTACGCATACGCCGTGTGGTTGCTTACAAAGTGAATTGCCAAATGAGATTGCAGGGCCGTTCGGTCAATAAAACATTAGGGTCCACGGATCGATGAGACTGAGAACTGACTGTAACTGAGCGACTAGGATACATACATCTTTGGCAAGGCCATTGGCCGTGGGGCAGCAGAGTTTTCGCCGTCCTTAGGCTCCCTGGGGGCAGATCAGCCAGCCACATCCTGGCCGGAATCGTGTCCTCGATGGGGTTGCGTGTAATTAAGCGCTGCAGCTTATGTAAGACAAACAGGAAATAAGGTTTAGCACAAACGCATAAATAACAACGGCAAATCAGTAAAGCAAGGCAGACGGCAGGCGGCAGGCAGTAGGCAGCAGGCAGTGGGGAACATAAATAAAGGCATACAAACAATGAAAGCGGATAACATAAAATTTACAACAACTAAAGCCAACAAAACAGGAGCACGGCAAGACAAGGCGTAAAAGTCTATAGTTCTGCACTGAGAGAAATAGGAAGTAGGTTATATTATATACCTTTTAATCTATGTAAGTTGGAAGAGTGGGAAACTTAAGCCCAAACTTACTGAAACAAACTATGTTCATAACAATTTCTCCAAGTGCACGAATGTAACACACACATGGACACTTGTATACGCCCTGAGTAGCTTCCGTCTTTAATCAAATGGTACAAGTGGGCGTGGCAGGAGGCACTGCTGACACACTTAGTCCAAAGGCGACTCGCAATCCCCGCCAGCTGAATCACCTGGCTCACTCACCTGGCTCACGACGTTGTTAACGCTCTCGCCCAGAAAGACACCGAAAGGTGGAAAGCCAGGAAGCCATGGAAGCGGAAAGGGACAGGTGCGTCCTCGGCAAATATACAAAACACTTGTAACTGCCGTGCAGCTAGCAAGGATTTATGATTAATTTATGGCCACGTATGTGTGTAAGAGTGTGTATATATGTCTGTGTGTGTGTGTTTGTAAGACAACGACAACGACAACGACAATGGGCGACTGTAACGATGGCAAAAACTTAATTAACTCATTACATACGCACCGTTTTAATCAGCAAACGAGCCGACATGGGCAATGAAGGCGGCGGAAGCGAGCGAAAGAAATGAAAGGCTGCCATCGCGCTTGACATGCTGACACCGAGGGCGGCTGCCAAAAGGAGGCGTGGTTACCGGAGAGCTGCCAATCGAGCCCTCGCTTCAGTGCAAATTTAAAGCGGCCTTTGACTGCAATTAGTGGCTGCCTCGTTTGTCTGTCTCGCACACTTTCAGCACAGCCAACTGTATCTCACGGATACGGGCGAGTATTACGTACACTTGGCAAGTTGCGTGCCGGGGTTTTATCGCCCCTTCCCGCTCTCTTTTTTATCCGTCCAGGCATCCAAGCATTTTACCTTTGAACCAACTGTGCAAAGAGGCGAAAGCAATAACCTGAGAACTGGTGGAGCGAACCCCAACGATTGATTTACAATAACTACCCAACTACTCGAGCCGAGTCAAGCCGCCTCAATGTACTAAGCCGCGCTCTGCTACGCCATTGCGATTACAATGGGCTCATTAACGGTGGCGTATACGCAATTTCCAATTAAATAAAAAGTGGCCACGCACCCACAAACGCAGGCACTGAAGGAAAATTTTGCTTAAGTTGTTTGGTTTTATAAAGTAAAGCTAATCATTTAGATTCCAAATCGTATCATTCAGATTAATATTATTTGGAAAGTTTATCCCTTGTCAAGTTTTCCTTCTCTCTTTTTATATATTTACTATATCTAGTTCCCATAGTTTCTCTCAGTGTCACCCTTTCGTATATTTGTACACGTGAACACGCAGAGATTTACTCGTTGGGTTTGTGTTTTTAAAAGGCCAACAGGCCGCAGTCAGAATGAATCTACTTACTCAGCCCGTCTCATAGCCCCTCGTCTTGCCATTTTCTCCATCAGTTCCGCTGGCTCTGGGAAATTCCTTTTAATATTTATTTAACACAAAAGCTTTCCGCATTTCGCATTTTGCATTCGCTGCGGCCGCGCCGTTGCGACGTTGCCGTTAATTTTTCGCTTTGCTTTTCATTTTCGCAAAATTACCGGAAATGTTAATTTCTGCACGTGCAGCAGACAAGGCCATTGGACGGGGAGGTGGTGGGAGGTAGATGGGTGGATGGGTCTGGGACACGCCCATCGGCGTTGTCAGCCTCGAATGTTGTTGTCGTTTTTGTCGTCGTCGTCGTAGTCGTAGTCGTCAGTGGGCCCCAGCTGAATAGTGCTAATTATTTAGGGTAAGAATTCACTGTGTGTCTGTGTAAATGGGTGGGTTGGGTTGACCCCCGAAAAAAGCCCCGTTGCATTGGCCCTTAACCCATTACCACCCCACGTGCGTCGCTGTGCTGGCTTTGCCTTTTGCCCGTGTCTTGGCAGTGAGTTTCGAAGCTCAGCGCTGAGCTGGGCTCAACCGAACTGAGCTGACACAAGAGCGCACGAAGGACAACGACAACGAGCACAGCCAGAACCATAACCAAAACGAGACCCAGAGCCACCTAAGCCACCCCACTAGGATTTACCAGTCGCCTCCTTGCCTCCGCAGTCGCGACTTTTTTTTTTCTGTGTCAAAGAGACAAAGCACACAAAAATAATAATAAATGATTGCGATTCGTGCGAGTGTGGGTGTGTTTGCCTTGCATGTGAGTTTCTTACTGTATGAGTGTACACTCTAAATTTTAAATTACTAAATAAATTAAGAATTATAATTCCCATTTTAAATTATGAAAAAGATAACATAGCGTAAATATCTTTTCTTTTCTGTAAAGATTTATGATAGTAGAAAAGTTTTTCAAAAAGTTTCAAGTTTCTTGTATTCTCGACCCTTAAGTTTTTAGAGTGTTTGGCGGTGCAGAGGTTGGCTTTGTGTGGGGATGGGTGGTTGGTTGGGTGGTCACCCTCACTGAGAACATCACCCACTGCACTTGTGTTTGTGCAGCCTGCATGACAGCGAATGGCTTTGAGTTTGTGCATATGTACACGATGTTTGGCCTGATGATGGGGCCAGAAGATTCGAGCGTGGAAAGTTTACTTAGATGAATGGGTTAATTAGTATTAATGGGGACGTTCTTCAGGGGGTGGGCGGGTGAATGGGCGTGAGGGCACAAAAGACACACAGTGGGCAAAGTTTTCCGCGACGTTTCTGGAAAACTAATACAGAGTGGGTATGCTGCCAGAGAGACTTGCGAGAGTTTTGTCACCCACACTCTCTCCTTTGAACCCATCAATCTGCGCGGCTCCTTTGTGATTTCAATTAACTTATCTCTGCTTATGCAGCATAAAATTATATATGAAAAACTTCACCATCTTTGGGATTTTTCCATACTCTCTACTCCCTTCCTTTTTTTTTTTTATGAATATGCATTAAAGCACAGCGTCAGCGTTGGCAATAAATTGCGAAATAAAAGCGCATGACTTGGGATTCTCTTTTGATTTGCGTTTTTATCTGGCGCATATTTTGTGCGATTCACGATGCGCCAGCGGCATCTCAACCCTTTCCCCAAAAAGCAAAAGTCCCCGAAAATCTGTGAAAATCTGCGAAAAACCCGATACTCAACTTGGCACTCTCCCTCTTTTTTCTTGCAGAACAATTCCACATCTTTGTCGGCGACTTGAGCTCAGAAATTGAAACTCAGCAATTGCGCGAAGCATTCACACCATTCGGCGAAATCTCGTAAGTATTAAAATGCAAATTTTCCATTTGCCAGTTAACTTGAAATTGCCTTTCTCCCATTTCCACCATTCTGCAGCTTTTATTTAGCCTTTTCTTACTTTTTTTTTCCATTTTTTGCAACAATTTTCCTGTCACACATTCACATTCTCTGATTATTGGCAGGCGTGCGTGTGGAGGAGGCCCTCTACTCCATAAAAAATTCATAACCGAGCGGCAAAAAATGAATTTATGCAAATGCCACTTTGGCCGAACTCTTTTCGCTGTCTGTAAGTGTCGCCTTGAAGAGCAGCGGCAGAGGCAAAAAGTCGGGGCATTCAAATATTTAAGTTGCTATTTTTCGGCATGAAAAGGCAAAGTCACTAGCCCGCCCAAAACCACTTACCACCCATCAGCAGTCACCCACCGCCCACCGCCCAACGCCTTCTCCCGTGGCAACGACAGCATCAAAAACTTGGCTTAATTAACTTCTGTTTAATCGCAAAGTTTTGAGTCAAAATGTTAGTCCGTCTCTTGGGAGGATCTCCTCATCCTTATCCCCATTCTCTTCGTCCGCCATCTACAAAAGGAGGCCCTGCGGCGGCTTATCAAAAATTACGCCAAAGTATTTGATTTTCGGATTTGCCGCTTGTTTGAACCGCGAAACGGAGGATTCAGTCAGCCAGTCTATCAGCCAATCTGCTCTGCTCATCTCCCAGCCGATGGCCAATTTAAATTTTAATAATTTGAAAATCATTCTAATGACTCTGGCCTTGATTGGGTTAAATGGGTTCTCTGATTCCCTAATGAGCTGGTCATGTCTTGAATCAAACTTGGTAAAAATAGAACTTAAAAGCCTTTAATATATGTATATAATATTCTGCCTAACTGATTGATATAAATAGAATCACGAAAATATATTTATATAAATGAAACCTCAGCCAGGAGGGGATTCCATACCCATCACTGCCTGTTGACAACCGTATCGATGGCTACGGATTTCAGGCCTATTGAACAATCGTTTGGCACCTTTGTGATAGCAATCGCTGACATCATTATCGCCAATACTCCCCGAAAACTCAGGCCACGTCGCCAGCTGATTATCTTCCAAGGATGTGAGAGGAGGCAGAGGGACAGGGACCAGCTTAAAGAACTTTATTTCTTTTGGTTTTTCTTTTTGGGAGCCAAGAGCCAGGAGAGCCAGGAGCAGAGTCGATCTGCTAGCCGACATGTCAAAACGCTTAACGCACAAAGTCGGCGGGATTCGGTCGTGCGGCTCCCAGGGATCAAGATGTCCCCGCTCCGGCTGTCAAAACTTTTATGCGTGCCTGGCGTTGTTTGCCCTTTTTTTTTGGCTTGCTTTGTTTTTTCTGGTTTTTTGGGGCATTGTTGCCTGGCTTGGTGTTGCCTGGTTTTGGCATTATGTTTTTCCTTTTTTTTTTGGGTGCTCCAGCGCATTTTGCTTCGTTTTGTTAAATGCGCGGCGCGTGTGAATATTTAATAAGTCCTGGCAACAAAACCCCAGAAGCGAAAGCCATAGCCAAAGCCTGACCCAAACCCCGACGGGTCTCTCGGCATTTTACTTATAATAATCATAAAAAAAAAGTTGCCGTCCTGCGTCGCCAACTTCGCCGCCGCTGTGGTTTATGCTTCATAAATGAAAAGTAAACTGCCGGACCGGGGGTAATTGCGAAAGTTTCCTGGCAGCCGCCCGCTTTAGTGCGGTGTCGAGGCCCCAATTGTCCAAATGAGAAGTCGTACAGCCGCTGGGGGAAATCAATTTGGGCCCCCGAGTCGGAAGTTGGCCAATTGGCACAAGTGCCGGGTCACTAGTGTAAGTGACCAAAACGACCAGGTCCTTTCCCCTTAAATGTAATGAGCCTAGTTCGGTTCGATTTTCCGGCTTGGGGTTGGGGCTCAAATCACGGTTCGGAAGAGAGAAATTCATCAAAAACTTTATCGTTATCTTAAAGCCGGGAAATGGGAGATGAGATGACTGGACTGGCTTCTTGACAGACCAAATCCTCCCTTTCACAAACTGCAAGATAAAAAAAAAGTTTCCAGCATGAGGTCAGATTTCTAATTTCCGAATTACAGGGGGACACGCCCACGTCCATGCCACCGCCCACGCCATAGCAAACACAGACTAAATATATTTGTATTTTGTACTCGAACGGAAATATTTGAACACGTCGGCCAGACCGAGAGGCAGTCGGAGGAGGAGTCCTTGAGAGATGTCTTTATTAGGAATTTGCATAAATTTTAAAGTTTTCCAGGACTTCCGCTCGGTGGCAGGAGGAGGTCCTGCCAGAAATATATATTTAAGACTTAGTGAACTCTGTTCAGGACTTTAATGTTTACATTCCGTGTTCTTCTCTTCTTTTTATTTGCAGGGACTGTCGCGTGGTGCGCGATCCACAAACCTTGAAGTCGAAGGGCTATGGCTTTGTGTCCTTCATCAAGAAATCGGTAAGAACCGCCGACGGCATTAGCATATTTAAGTGCATATTTATGCAGTCGTGCGCAGGCTCTTTATTTCGAATTCGGCAATGCACGGCGACAAAAAAGTATCGGAAAATATTATTTCGCAATAAATTGTTTTTAAATTCTAAACATTAAATCGAAAAAGAATCATATTTGCAACTTACAATTTTTAATTTCAATATTTTTCCATGTTTTTATAAGTAATTTAAGACAACCAAGTTGAGAGTAATGTCGAGAAATGTTAAACTAAAGATGATTTAAGGAAGTAAAGCTTTAAGTAGTATTTACCTGGATATTTTTGCACCGTGTCTTCCTTTTACCGATTCTGATTCTGACCGTGTCTCTGTCTTCATTATCGCCCCGCAGGAAGCCGAAAGCGCCATTACGGCCATGAATGGCCAGTGGCTTGGCTCCCGTTCAATTCGCACGAATTGGGCCACACGGAAACCGCCGGCGAGTAAAGGTAAGGAAATCATGAGTGTCACCCCAGTCGGCAGGCCAACGAAGTTTCCGGTGTGCGTACACACTCCGGCGGACTTGGGACCCAGACCTGGACTCCAACACCGACACCAACCCGAACTGAGAACCAGACATGAAGGCAGTCGACGCGTCGTTCTTATTACAGGAAATGATGGCAATGAATGCCAAAGGTAGACCGACACAGGCACAATGCCAGGTTTAAATGTGATGCTGTGGAAAAGGTGTAGGCCCTGGGGGAGGTTGGGTAGAAATTCAGGAAAACCTCTCGCTATTTATAAACGTCGCACAAATTTTCTGCCAGATTATGTTTTCTTAATATTTTTGTCCTTTCTTAACCGCACGCGCTTAATTTCCGTAATGGGCTCTACCCAATTTGGTTTAAACTTTTTCAATTAGTAGACCCAGAAATATACGAGCGGTGGGCCAAAAAGAAAAAACAAGAGAAAACCCCGACTAGAGGCATTCAATTAGGACCGGCAAATCAATTTTCATTTGGGCCCAGCGACACGCCCCCCAATGTACGGCCACGGATCGTTGTCAACCACAGGACAGACTTGCCAAGACCGTAACCGTAACTATATACTTAGCCGGGGGCGTAATCATTATTAACAGCGGACAAACATGCGCGGGGCTTCCCTCGTTTGTCTTTCATAAATCAAAACTTAACGCATATTTGCATGTTTTAACATAATTTTTATTTGTTAGACATACACATACATACATATACAAATATATGTGTATGTATATCCCACGAAATCAGATAAATAAATTTTGCCAACACGAAACTATTATCATAAAAGGCCCAAACATACACACAAGCACAAACAGGGTTATACAACGAATATTTTGGTAGAAACTAGTTGGGGGGAGTCAAGGTGGAATTTATCGTGCAAAGGCCCGAAAAACTGTTGAAGGGTTCGGAAAATGCGAGGGAGGAACTTTTCCTGAATATAATATTTTCCCTTTGCATTTATATTGTTGTCATAAAAAACGCCTATGAAAGCTTAAGCGTATTTTTATTGGTCTCATTGTTTATTTGACTGTGTCACGGTTTTGTCTGCTCTTCTATGCCATTCTTCTATACTATTCTATTCTGTTCTTTGGGGTAAAAAGTAAAATTACTGAGCGGCAGTTGGAGGAAGGAAGTAGTTGGGGAGGGGGCCTGTAATACAAGTTATTATTAGCAATTTGACAGCGAAATAATTTTGATTTTTTGATCGCCTCGATAGGCTGAGTCGGCACAAAAAGCAAAAAGAAAAACTGAAGGGTTCCATACGAAACTCTAAAGGGTTTTTATGTTCCGTTCACATATGCAAGGGTTGGAAAATGGATATATAGGGTATATGTTTTATGGTCCGCCTAGCGACTGCTGGCAAACTTTACGATTTGTAGCACTCAACTCATTTCGCATTTGGCATTCGCATTACTTCATGTTTTACGCAGCCACTTTGCTCGATTCTTTTGGCAATCCCCATTGCGCTGAGCTTGGCCCCGGCATTTTTATGTTTTAAGCAGGCTGCACATTTCACGTCCGTCCGCGTTTAGTGGGCCACTCATGTGTCTGCCCCATTGTTGCTAAAGATTTACGATCCGGCGCAATTGCGCATTTTACAGTTGTGACAATTTTGGCGACGCTTTGCAATTTCTCTCGTCCCCGGCTATCCCCTCTACTCCCCTTACCACTTTTCGAGGTTTATAACAAACGCATTTGCCGCGGCCCTTTTTTATGGCGCCTCCCTGCTAAAGTGAAAGTTCTTACAAAGTTTTTACCTTTGTCAAACAAGGACCCAACTCTATTCCAGTGCATGCCCATAAATAAGGCCCCAAATACCTGCAAGCTCATTATGGTAATAACTTAATTAACCAGAAACAATATGCCGACGACAAACGCCGCACAAAAGACGACAACGCTGTGTCGTATGACAAATTTCTTTGCCAAAACTATTTGACTTTTGACCCGGCTGTGTGGGTGCTTTATTGGCCAACTCTCGCAGCAAAATATTTGCAAAAGTTGGAGTTACGTGAACTCGTTACACGGCAGTTGCCAGTTGACGCAATAAATCAACATTTTATGCAGAGTTGCGCACAATTAAGTAAAAGTTTAAATGCCTCAATGCGTTCAGGTTGAAGGGACGAAATTTAGAGCTTAGCTTATAGGTAAAGTTAAAGAACGTTTGGCCAATTTTGGTTACGGCTTTGGGAAATTAAAGAATTTTCTGTTTTGAAACATTAAACTGATTTTAAGCTGAAAAAAGTGAAGGTCTTTTAATGTGTAAAAGAGATAGAACACTTCAAGAAAGTATAACAGTATCGATTGTTCAGAGAATTCTGCCACGCCCATGCGAGACGCCCCTTAGCACGCCCCTCAAATAAAAAATCAGCCCCCTGCTGAACAAGCATTTCCATGCATATTAATTACTTTTGAATTTCCTCAAGTGTCGGCCACGTCCTCGAGGCCCATGTTGTTTTTGCTGCGTGTAAAAATGTGAATTATTTATGTTAATGATTTGGTGATTATTTCATGATTTAGTTTTACATGCCTATAATTGCTCATTAAAATTTCAAATCGTCGGGAAAAATGGGAGCACCTGCCGGAGCGCCGATGGCATTCGCTATTTGCCCCCATAATGGCCCTCGGGCTGACCAGACTCCAATTATTTGTGTCTGCCCCCGCAGCAAATGGGAATTGGAATGAAAATGTGGAAAAATGGGAATGCACATGGTTTGTCGTAGACAAAAATGTGCGATAATTATGGCCACGCTGGGCCAGAAAGTGCTTTAATTTGCTGCGGACATGAAACTTGGCCAAGTCAACCCAAACGCCAAGGCTGGTCACGTAGGGCGTGTGCGAATATGTGAGGCTCGTTGGTTGCATTTTCAAAATTTAATTACACCTATTTAAAAGCGTAAAAAAGAAATTAGAGAAAACAAAAAGTGGAAATAATATAGGGAGAAATGAAGGGCCACACAAACACACACACACAGTCAAAGCCAAGTGCAAATTAGTGAAACATGGCGCTGCAAAGTATGCTATGTTTCTTGCGGATAGTCCTTATACGAGTGCACTTGGAAAAATTTAGATTTGCAACAAATTAATGATTCATAAATTGGAGTTTTCTTTTAAAAATGTTTTAAATTTAATGAAAATTTACCATAGTTACCAAAAATTATAGTTTGGAAATATTGAATGGTATTTTTCCGAGTGTTTTAGTCCCTATTTGTCTGTGTGTGCGTGGCCAAAGCGCATACATTTGTGGCGAAAGCTTTCAAAAGTATTTGCGAGCTTGTTAGTTTTCCGTGTTTTTCGGCTTCACCCTCGCCATCGAGCTGTGATTGTTGTGGCGTGTGTGTGCTGCAATCCTGTTGCATGTCATTGAGCCATATTTTTGTGTTTTCTTTGGCATGTTCGGTGCGCAGTCGAAGGCAAAACAAAAAGCAGTCGCAGGCACACACAAATCCAGACATCCTGCAATGGCATTTTGACGGTAAGGGCGGTAAGGGAATGGGAATGGCCAGGCGTTGGCTGCCACTAACAGGCCATGTTAAGTAGGCCTGGACCCGCAAAGTCCTTGGCAGCAAACTATCTCTCTCTCTCTCTAAGAGCTTGGTATCCTTTACATCGATCTATGAAAGTGTCATTATCGTTATAATCCCTTACAATAGAGTGCGTGGAAATGCTACCGAAAAACTAAACAAAGACATAAACACGCAAAGCTGACATTATTTTTAAAAGTGCAAATTTAGTTTTAACCTCAAAGGAAGTAATTAGTGTAGCTCTTGCATACAAATACGTGCATTCATGCCGTATACGGAACAACAATCAGGGCAACGACAACGACAACGACAATGTGGGGTTGTTTCAGGCCATTACTGTGTATGTACTGTGAGTGCAAAAAGCATGGCGACAATAAAACGGCATACGAAAAATGTATATCCACAAAATACGTATAATAAAAAATGCAATAACAACCGCAACAATTTTAAATATGCAACTGCAACAACAAGAAAGCAACGGTAAATGGTGTTGCAAGCCTCCCTTCCCCACCAACCAAACACTCACTCGAACATATACGTATAGGAACCGCACACACACAAGCATATTGACTAAGTGCATGCGGTTATTTTAATTACCAAAACGTTGCCGAGGCTGCTCTCGTTGCGTTGTGTTGTTGCTGCTGCTGCTGCCGCCGTCGTTGTTGCGGGTAAATCCGTTAATTAATTTGCATATTAATCATGCAGCTGGAGGATAAAAAACTGACTCGTACAGAAAAACTGCCTCACATAAATTGCCGTTCGAGGCGGCAACATTAAATCCAGATCCATCACGAGCACACACCATGGGTAACACTTGCAACTCCATTTTATCCCCCGCAGAGAACATCAAGCCGTTGACCTTCGACGAGGTCTACAATCAGAGCAGTCCCTCCAATTGCACCGTTTATGTGGGCGGCGTTAACAGCGCCCTCACCGCCCTCAGCGAGGAGGTCCTTCAGAAGACATTCGCCCCCTATGGCGCGATACAGGAGATCCGCGTCTTCAAGGACAAGGGTTACGCCTTCGTGCGGTAAGTAAAATGGTTTTTGCTAATATTTTAGGTTTGTTTAATTATTAACTTTAGTACTTTGTACTAATACATACTAATATCAGGCATAGACTTAATCTTCTTCTTAAAACTAATTTTAAATTGATTTTTCTTCACAGCTTCTCCACCAAGGAGGCAGCCACCCACGCCATCGTGGGCGTTCACAACACGGAGATCAATGCCCAGCCCGTGAAGTGTTCGTGGGGCAAGGAGAGCGGTGACCCCAACAACGCACAGACCATCGCCACTCAGGCTCTGAATAGTGCCGCCGCCGCTGCCGCCGGTTTCCCGTATGGAGTTGGCGCAGCAGCCGCCGCCGCCGCCTACGGACAGCAGCTGGCCGCTACGGGCTGCTGGTACTCACCCACGCCCACCTATCCGGCCTCCTCGGCCACGGCGGCCGCGGTGACCCCGGCGGCGGCCAGTGCAGCCGCTGTGCAGAACCAGTTCCTGCAGGGCATCCAGGGCTATCACTTTGGACAGTACGGAGGCTATCAGCAGGGATATATGGGGTGAGTAGGGGCTTGAAGTCAGTGGGGGTCAGTGGTCAAGGGGTCATCCATTGTTATTGGATTTGCGAGCAATAATTTTATTAGCTGATTTGCCTGGCTATCAGAATCCCTGAGGGTGTCCATAAAATAGGCAGGGAGAGAAAAATTTTAGTTTAAAAATATTTAAATTTATGTTTAACCTATGTTTCTAATTTATGCTAGTTCTTGACAGGCTTTAAGAAGTTTTAGTTTACAGTAAAAAGACATTTAAAATTTTTCTTTAACAAGATATTGGCTGATTAAGCTGCCAATTTACAACAAACTTAAACAAGCATAGCTAAAATGTGACACATAAAAGTACCATCATTTTCTCTTCGTGTATGGATTCCAGTCCAACGCCAGCCGTTCCATCTGTGTACTTTGTGCAATGATTGAACCGCCACCGGGGATCGGGAAAAACAACAACAGAGACGACACCAACAACGACAGCATGACGGATGGGTGAATTCATTTGCTAATTGCGAAAGTTTTTCATTTGCACCGTCCTCGGTCTGCGGCCGTATGAAATACATTTCCGCGTCCGTCGGGCTGTCAACATAACGTGCTATTTGCATCGCAGTCGCGTAAATTTTGTTTTCCGCTACCTCCTGCCAACCCCAACTGGCATCCCTTTTGGCTCTGAATCCCTTTTGCCATCCGCCGACTGCGACTGCCCGTGATAATTGTGGCGTACACCACGCTCCGGGGACTTGCAACGGACGGATCAGCGAATGCAGTAATGCAGCAGCTTTACACTGGCAGAAAATATTGCATTTAACATATTTTTCACATGAAAGATAGTAGAGAAAAGTAATTTTTTGATATGAATGTAGAAAGAAGAGTCTTTTTGGGACCCAAAAAAATCCCTTTTAAGTTTTTCTTTTCGTGTACTTATGTTTGAAAACTTTGGCGTCTCGTTGCAGCATGGGCGTGCAGATTCCGGCCACCTGGCAAGGCGTCACCCAGGCGCAGATCTCACCTGCCCAGCAGCTGGCAACGGGCGTGGCCGGCACAGCCATTCCGCAGGCCGCCGGCGTGGTTGCCTATCCGATACAGCAGTTCCAAGTGAGCCCACAGGTAGGTGCCATCCATTGGAATACAGATATATAGAGATACAAACACATAGATACCAACCAACCAACCAACCTACATACATTGCCCGACACATTGAAACATTTTTTCGTGCATCTCTACCACGTTTGTTGAAAGTTCTGAATGTATTTTGGATAGCATTGTAGTCCGCTCGGTTCGATTGAATTCGATTCGGTCGGTTCGTTAGGAGGGTGTGCGATGGGTTGTTTGCTCGGCAGCTGTGTGTGTGTGCACTCGATATGCGTACATATATATATATTTCTGGCTGCTATCAAAATATTCCATCGCCATTCGAATGCCTTTGCCTGCTAATGTTATTCTTTTGCATTTCCATATGAATATCGAATATGGACAGAGACAATTGTAATCTGTCAGTGTGCATGCATGTTTTTGATTAAATAACATTATACCGAAAGCGGAGGGTCTAAAACAATTTAATACAAAACATATAGTATATATTGAATATTAAAATAAACATTTCGATAATAAATATTGGTTTAGAGCTGCCTTTTTTTCTATTATTTTTTGGTCTCTAGTGAAATACATTTAATACTTTTATGCATGTACTGGCTAGTAATCTTGCCATAAATTCGGCATTTGTACTATCTTTTAAGTGTAATATATTTGCCAATTAGTTTGTTCGTTTTATTTGTTTATCTCGTGAGCTCACATTATTCAAGCCAATCCGGTTTGGTAAACAATGACCATAGAATTTATTTTTGCATCTCAAATATGTGTGTTGTAAAAAGTAAAAAATATCAAAAAATCTAAATAAATAAAGTTTTTGCATTACAATTACTTTTATTCCGTCTACTACTTTTTTCCAATTCTTACTAACACCCATATTATTTTTTAAGGTTTATCCTTTACTCTTGCAGGCACAGTAAACGCCAAAAGCCAAAAACCAAAACCAAAAAACCGAAAATCCAAGCAAAATTTTTAAGTACAGCCGCAATTTTCTGAACAGAAACAAAACCAAACTGAGCTGTAAATAAAATGCGAAGCGCAGAACACACAAATTGCTAAAATCAATTGATGGCATCTTGAAGTTTGGCGATTTTAGAGAGCTGCACCCCAGAAACAAAAGCAAGCGCGAATGCAAAATCCAAATCCAAAATCCCACACCCACATCAAAATATATCTATATATATATATATAAAACTAGAGCATAATTATCTGTCAACGCCCGATGAATAGTCATCGGGGGAAGCAAACAATTACAATGTATATGCAAAAAGAAAAGGCAAAGTGAACATATTTTTAGCCCTAGCTGCTTAAACCACCACACACACTCACAAACACACATCACGTATTTTAATGCTTTATGTAAATGTGTTGAAGGACGACGCGTATAAAAAAAATAATAACAATTATTAATTGAAGGAGGCAGGAGTTGAAATTACAAAGCCCAAATGGCGAGCGTAAATAAAAAAGGGGAATGAAATTTGGTCGAAGGAAAACGTAAATCGAGTGGGCTGTAGCAGCCTAAGTCAAACATAGTCGCGGCATTAAATTAAAATAAACATAATTAAAAATGCGTTAAAATTAATTACGCGCACACAGACAGGCACACGACACGTATGCAAGTAAATATTTGTGCGAGCGTGTGTGTTTGTGTGTGTAAACAGCCCTTAACCCCACAATATCCTACACACAGCAGGACCCGCATCACTTTGTATTGCCTACTCTTGTGCGCAGTTTGGTTCTAGCTAAGCTTACACACACACACACACATACATACACTCGTACACACTACTTTCACTGGCCAAGTGAAAGTCGATTTCTTTTATTCATCTAAATCTAGCACACTGCACAGCGATAAAACAAGGCCACCAAGAAGGTTCTGTTAATAATTGAGTAGTGTGTGAAAGTTAAATGATTTTAAGTGGAAATTACTTTCACTCGGCCATACCCACACTTAGCACTAGTGCCTATAACCATGATAGATGATACTGCTTAGAAACAACTGCCAGTTATCGGGCCAAGTGCAGTTGATTTGCCAACTAGCTCGTCATGTCCTGCTATCATTTCCTATAGAATGCAACTGAAAGTTCACGCACTCACACCGATTTGTGATCGATCAGCAATCGAAAAAAAAGACAGGTTCCTACACACACGCACACTCACCACACGGTCTCACCAGCACTCGCAGTTCGAAGTATCTGAATATATTAGTAAACGTATGAAAGTCCAGGAAAGTCCAGCCAGCCAACCAGCCCATAATTTCCCCTTGAAATCCGAGACTCTTAACCAATCATTTTCGACCTATCGCTTCACTTTCAACAAGCGATTCACGAGAGAGCCGTGTACAAAGCAGCCGCAAAAATGTTTCAAAACTCCCTCCAACAACTTACTCTTTAACACGCCAGTATTAACCCATGTTTGTACATGTTACGTTTATGGTTCTATTTCAGTTGCCAGAAGAGGAGTGGTTAGCTGCAAATTTGTTGTGTTAGTTTTCTGTTGTTTAGGCCAAACGAAAGCGATAAGGATACCAAAACCAAAACCAATACAAAAACCAAAACAAATCAAACCGAAACCGAACCGATAACCAAACAGAATATCCAAGTAGCTAAAAAATATATATATGGTATGAGTATGAGTATGAGTATGAGTATGAGTATGAGTACGAGTTATCCAAAGATAGAAAGTGAAAAAGAAAGGAAGGACAGAACTCCCCTACACAAGTAAAATATATTGAAAACAATCAAAGTATGCCATCGAATGATATTAATTGATATTAGCTAATCGAGCATAGCCGTAATAAAGTAGATATTATCGCCTAATCATATAAGCCAATAAACACACACACTTGCAGAACCCGAAGAACAGAGACAGTTTAGCAGGGAGCAGAGCCGTCACACACGGGACACAGGAAACGATATCCAAATGGCAAGCATTAATCAACTTATAGACAAACCGACACAAACACAAACACACACACACACACACACACAGACAAGACACAGGATCGACAATTTCAGATGGTAGTACAGTACATGAATGTGAAACATAAAAATAGTCATATGGAAAACTAAGCAACTAAAAGTGTAGAGTATATAAATGTAAAGTGGTAAAGCCTAGACTTAGAGTTGGTTGATAAGTACATAGAGTATACAGCATATGCATTAGACAAACATGCTTATATAACATATATATATATATATATATATACAAGCCGTATAGAGAACACTCACACATACACAGACACACACCCATATGTTTACATATAGAGAAGAAAAACTAAATGCGAGCAACGTATGGTAAATGATATTTATTGTTTATTGTGTTGTATGCGTTGGATGATAAATCACAAATAGATGTTCAAAATGAAAACCAATTAAAACGATGACAACAACAACAACAACAACAACAACAACAACAGAAACAACAACAGCAGCAACAACAAGCTAAAATCCCAAGTACTAGAAATAGCAATACGCATACGTAACGTAATCGCAATCGCAAACGCAATCGCATTCGCATATATATATATTCGTACGTATCGGACAATTAAGCTGCAAAAGGACGAAAGGACGAGGCTTGATTTGCATTTGACACGCCCCAATCCCCAGCGACTGGCAATGGCGTGGAATTTGTTATGTCATTTTTTTAGTGGAATTTTTTCGCAGCAAACCAAGCAGAGAGCAGTGGCAGAGCATTTAGTTACACGGGTGTGGCCCTAAGCACCAGTAAATGTCTATCGATAATACCCCCACACACCAACAGAACACATAGGTATATACTATGAAATATATATGTATGTATGTTCGTTTGTAGGATGCGCTCACTCACTCAGTACGATAAGATATGGGTCTGGGGATTTTAGCCAAGGATCTTACAGATCAGCAGGACATGTAGTCTTTAGGGGCAGTCGTACTGTATATTTAAATGTTTTTAGCACTAGAACTTAGATGAACTACAAGACGCATGGCATGCGACTTAGATGTAGATGTGATTTTAAAGTGGGCGGGATTGGGCCGGATTAATGCAAGTGAAGTGAAGCTGACAAATGCATTTTCTGTTGTTATTTTATTTTCTAGAAATTTTGTTAAGTCAAAAAAAGAAAAAAGAGAAGAAAGCGAGAACAAAAATTTGAAATGTTGTTGACCAAACGAAAAAAAAAATAAAGAAAATAATACTAAAAAACGTTTTGCAAAAACCAAAATTTGGCTAGGAAAAACAAAAGAAAGAGAAAAAACATTTATAAGTGAAAAAGTTTATAGTTAAGACAGAAAAAAAAACGAAAAAAAAAAATATTATCGGTTTGTTTGTTAATGTTTGCGCTACATATCAGTAAAGAGTTAAAATGGGTAGTTGGCACGTAGAAATAGTGAAGAGTTGGAAACTAAATAAGAATTAACTGTGGAAGGTAGAGGAGGCATAAAACAAGCTGACACGAAGACGACGAACTAAATAATATACAAATATAAAAATAAAAAAACAGAAATTAACAAATATATATATATAAATAACAGCTGTAACTGTATGTATTTATGTTGTGTAACTATAAACTGTGCTAAGTCATTTATATACGTCTATATATATATATGAACATATACAAAGTATTTATACACATGGAAGCCCACGTCACATATATATACAGCAGAAAGAGATGAATCCTGCTAGAAGGATTTGCTAGGAAAAACCACTACAAAAGTACTGTCTAGCTGCACTATATTGCCGGATGATGATGATGATGATGATTATTATTATTATTCATCGACTCAGGTTCTGTTCCGATCATAGCCCATTGCCACCATTAGTCAAGCATAATTCAATTCCGAGTCCTTCGCTTTGAGTTACTAATTCGGTTTAGGGTTCAAAGCCAACTCCACACACACTGAAACGATTGCAGTTATTAACCCATAAACTACAATTACCAATTAGTCAATTCGAAGTGTAATTAACTGGAGTGCTGAAACAGGAGCAGTTAGCGAAATTTACCACACGCAATGCGAAAAACCAAGCGATGCATGTGGGGCATAAATAGCATAAATTTAACTAAACCAAAACGAGAGAGAAACAAATTTTAAACGAGATCCAATTGCAGCAAAAGAGAAACCGAAAATCAATCAAATAAAAGTATTATCTAAGCTACAAACATTATATATATTTACATGCAGACAGACCCTTCAAGGTGAATGGCAGCAGTGCATACTATCTATCTGAGTGTGTGTGTATTCCGCATAAGTTTAATCACACACCAGCATAGGGATAATAAGGCAGAAAGGATCTAAATAATATATATACTAGCCATGAGAATCACTTTGGAACCAAATCAAAATCAAGTCAGTATGATTATATGAGCAGGCTAACCAGGATATTTTTGTGCAATAAACCAGGCGGATTGAAGGGCATGTTATGCAATTAAAATTACACTAAGATTGTAAACAAATCAAATGCAAATGTAGAAAAAATCAAACGATGAGCAAACAACCAAAAGCTGCTAACAAAACAAACATCAAAACGAAAACAAAAGCTAAAACCAAAAAAAAGTTTTGAAAGGCATTCGACAAGAGGACAGAACACACACACAGATACAAATACACAGACACACTGACATAGATATCGATATTATACGAAACAATATATATATATATATATACACACATATATATATACAGACGTAAAATATGATAAGTAAATAGCAAATAACTAAAGTAAACAAAGTATAGATATCGACTGCAGTATTGCAAATATTTTGTAGAAATTTAAGCATGTTTGAGTGTGTTTTAGGACAAGGACTAAAGAAAACACAAAGGCGAAAGGCAAACAGGATGAAAAAATCGAAAAACATTGTAGCGGAATATAAGGGCCGAGAACATAAGCAAACAACCAAACAAAAACAGCAAGAACAAAGCCGAAAATTGGAAACCTAATGCATAAGCTAAGTATTAAATATACACTGAAAAGGAAAAAAAAGAAAACAGAAAACAGAAATATATATACAATATAAATACGGCATCACAAGTCTCACACAGACATACCACACACACATACAAAACAGCATTTGCATAAGAAAAGAAATCACACATACACACACACACACACTCACCCACAAGTGAAACAACGTAACGAATATTAAAAGAGTTAATCAAATTAAGCATAACAAGAAATTCAAAGGAAAAATATTTATAGTTGAAAAACGAAAAACAAACAAATAAAAACCAGGATAATTTGGTTGCGTATTTGTATACCAACGCGCCAAAGGACCCCGAATAACCCAGCAGCGAAATGCAAGCAAATTATTATACAACAATGTCAGCGATGAGGCGTAGGGGTTACCCAATCTATCTCTCTCTCCCTCTCATTGGAACGCCAGATGGGTGACCCCGGCATGTGGGGTAAGGTTTTAGAGCTAGACGCTGGGTTTGCCACAAGAGGCGAAAATGCATAGAGAAATTATACTTAGGTGACAGCATAAAAAGAAAAAAAAATAAAACACAAAAAAAAGACAAGAGAGTGTAATAACAAAACAAGAAGAGACAGGCGAGATGGTAAAACAAAGAACAACTGCAACATAGAAATGATGAAAATAAGTAAATATACCGAATAAACAACAAAAATTATATTATGTATACATAAATATATTGAAAGAAAACAAATAAAAACGAACAAAAAAATTTTGTAAAAATAAAACATCTGGATGGCGTTCTTATTTCGAAGATGTCCTTGCTCAGCAGGGATTATTTTGGTTTTCTCTGAAGTTTCTTTAAAAGTTATAGAACCTTTAATATTTTATCTTAATTTTCTTATATTAAAGAATACTGCTCAGCAGGTCTAATAATAATTCCCATAAAATTCAGACGAAATGATTTTACATTATATTATTTGTTTGTTTTATGATCTCTGCATATGGCAGGTTCCCTGGCTGGTTGTTCATTTCCCTGGAGGCATTTGGCCAACGCTATCTGCTGTTGTTTTTCATCTTCCTTATTTTTGTTGTTACATATATTTTTCTTGAGAAGCGAGCGCTCTGCTTTCCATTTACACAGGTGACATGAAGAAGACGTTCTTGCTACTTATGCGTATGCCCCACAGGTGAGTTCGTTAAAAACATTTATGCCCCGGATGGGGCACACTCGTTTACCCAGAGATCCGTGCCACCTGCTCGGCAGTTGGGCCGCCAAGGATGGATTGGCATAACAAAGGCAAAGGACAACACGTGCAACAATAACAAATCAAAAATTTACAAAAACAGAACAACGACAAAATGCTGAAGGGCGGAATCGGCGGAAAGGACTGTTGGGAAATGCAAAGCGGAGAAAAATGTTTAAAACATATTTTTTCGCCAATTCCTTTTGTTGTTGTTTTTCTTTCTGCCGTCGCGACTGCTGGCTCTTGTTTCACATTTTTGCCGCAGGTTAAAACCAGCGGACTCACACACATCTACACGAGCCTCAATTTATATTTATTGTGTGCGTGTGAGTGTGTCTATTATCACAAAGATTTCGAGCAGTGAAACACACACACACACCGAAGGACTCCTTGATGGCTGCATTTTTAAGCAACATATGCGTTACTTTCACTTTCTCCCTGTGTCGGTATATGTGTGCGGAAAGTAATGGCGCTATGTTTGATTTGCATTGCAAATCGGCGTAATTTCGCAAAATGTCTTCCTATAAGAGAAACAATATGTTTTATTTACTTACATTTGACTTTGATTTCACTGTGTCATCCGCAACCCTCGTCTGATTCCCTTTCGCAGGCGTGCACATGTCGCGGCCCCAGTTTTCTTTCCTTTGCCGCCTAAAAAAACAAAGAAGCATAAAAAGTGAAATCCAAGCCATTGCTTATTTTAACTTTGCCCAGGCCATAGATGGGGGCGTAGGAAAAAATAGATTGTTTGACTAGGAAATGCTGTGTACATACGGATAAGTACATTTCGCCAGCCAACTTTCTCCACGGTTATATTTAGACTTAAACGAGAAATCGCAGCTGTATTTTAGCGGGGCTTTGCTTATTTACGGACTTCAATTCAGAAATAATATTTTTAAAAGGTTGGTAAATTGTAGAAGAAGATATTATTTAGTTTTTCCTTACTGTTAAATGATCTGTAATAGTTATATCTAAAATTCAAAGTAAAAGGAAATCCTATTCATAAGACCACAACCTTGCTTTCAAAATGCCACAGCTTAGCCTTCCACGCCTCTCGACGGCATGTTTAGTTAATAATTCCCATGGCTGAAAGCCTGTCGCCTCCACTAAGACGACACGGGAGCAAGAAGCATTTTCTGCATAACAGGATATTTGCAGAATATAAAGAATGTATCAGCAGCAGCTGCAGCCGGATGCTGGGAGGACGAGGAGGATGAGGTTGGAGGGCAACAGGACGTGCAGCTGTGCGACGGAAACCGGAAATGCGCAAATAGCAGGGCACTGAGGATTTTTACGCTCAGCACGATTCCGTACGGCATCGAGGCTATGAGGCTATAGCCGCATGCAGAGCTCACTGCCAGCTGAGTGGCTCCATATCCATATCCAGAGCATATACAGATCCCTATATCCTCATGCCAGCAGATTAGACACTCAACAGGACGAACAGAAGAAGAGCAACAATGCAGCTGGCAGGCGACAATGCCACTTGACAGCAGATATGCATTTGTGTTTTGTGTCTCTCTCAATTCTCAGGCAGTCCTGTGACATATCCTGCCCCGAAAGTATGCCCTCCTTTAATTGGGTCACTCGCAAAGCGGTGTGCAAAAAGTTTCCAATACACGAAATCATTAACATACAAAGCACCGCATAATTTATGGCCAGGGACCCCTCCGTTGTCTGATGGTATTTTTTTTGGCATATTACCGGACGCTTATGACTGCTAACTGATACAGATGCCACCCCAAGGAAAACACGTGCCTTCTCTTCTCGGCATCCTCGGACAACCACAATTCGGGACATAATGAAGCAAACAATTTTGCGCAGAGAAAACAGGCAGCCAGGACCTGCCCACAATATCCTGCATCGTTACAAGTAGCCGAATATCCTCAGCTCATAACACAAAACAGAACAAATGTCCTTTGCTGATAAAGCCTCATAATAAATGTCGACCTTTCGTTTTTCCATTTATATTATCAACTCAGGGGGAGCACCGAAACGAGGACTTTTGGACAGCCA